AAGGAAGCCAGGCGTCTTCTTGCAAGGTGGCTTCTTGGAATCCTCTTCAGAGCTCTGCAAATTGGATTTCGCTGAAATCTAATAGCAAGGCTGCAGACTCGGGGCTGAGTGTTATCGATTGACAGGGTGGTTTTTTGATATAAATAAAAATGTTTAAAGAGATCACAGAAGGGGAGGGAGGGAGGAACGGAGAGGAAAACAGTATTTTAGGTTTTCTGAGTCTCGGATTGTGCTGAACAGGAAAAGTAGAGCTTTAATCTTATTTGTACATGCACTTATTAAAGGACCATATGAAACAACCATCCTTTGCTGGATGAGAAGAGAGGGTGGGTTATACATAAAGTGTTGTTGTTGTTGTTGTGGTATAGCAGTGTTTCTCAACCTTCCTAATGCCGCGACCCCTTAATACAGTTCCTCATGTTGTGGTGACCCCCAACCATAACATTATTTTCGTTGCTACTTCATAACTGTAATTTTGCTACTGCTTTGAATTGTAATGTAAATATCAGATATGGAGGATGTATTTTCATTCACTGGACCAAATTTGGCACAAATACCCAAATTTGAATACTAGGGGGGTTGGAGGAATTGATTTTGTCATTTGGGAGTTGTAGTTTCTGGGATTTATAGTTCACCTACAATCAAAGAGCATTCTGAACTCCACCAACAATGGAACTGAACCAAACTTGGCACAAAGAACTCCCATGACTAACAGACAATACTGGAAGGCCTTGGTGGGCATTTGACCTTGAGTTTTGGAGTTGTAGTTCACCTACATCCAGAGAGCAGTGTGGCTTCCTTCCCTCTTTCTCTTTCCCTTCTTCTTGCTTCCTTCTCGACCTGTTTCTTTTCTCGCTTCCTTTGCTCTTTGGTTCCATCCTTCCTTGTCTCTTTCCTTCCTTGTCTCTTTCCTTCTTTCCTTCTTTCCTTCTTTCCTTCCTTCCTTCCTTCCTTCCTTCCCTCTTTCTCTCTTTCATTCCTTCTCTCCTTCCTTCCCTCTTTCACTTTTTTATTTTCTTCTCTCCTTCCTTCCTTCCCCCTTTCTGTGTATGTGTTTTGTGTGTGAATATATGACTGTGTATATATTTGTGTATATATTTGTGTATATGTGTATATATGTGTGTTTGTGTACATATGTGGTTTTGCGCATGCCTTGTAATGTTTTTTTTTTTGCTTTTTAAGTCTTTTCTGCTGTGTTTTTCAGTGTTTTTATGATTGATGGTCACTCGTTGACCTGGTAGGTGTCTTGTGTCCAAATTTGGTGTCAATTCATCCAGTGGTTTTTGAGTTATGTTCATCCCACAAACTAACATTACACTTTTATTTATATAGATAATAATAAGATATCACTATACATACAGCATGTCATCACAGAGCAAATTGTTTAAAAGTACATTAAAAAACAAGACTAAGGATGGACAGACTCTTGTTGGAGAAGCATATTATTGTAAAACCAGTTGCTTTGCACCTTCTTAAAGGCTGAGAAAATGTGAGCCTTGGTGAATTGAGTCTTCAAACTCCTATGCAGTTGCCTCCTTCTTATTCCTGACTAGCTGTACCCGGCCACGTGTTGCTGTAGCCCTCAGAAAACAGAGGATTTGCAAACATGAAGCAATCTGGGCTAGGGAACTCCTCCCACCAAAGGTTTCCTGCTGGCTGCAGTCAGGCTTGCCTTGCAATCCTCTGGTCTTGGGGGAAGAGTTGCCTGGTAGCCACATGGGCCTCATGGAGCCACTGCAGTGGCTCCAGCTGCTGCCAGGGCTTGCTTCACCAACCCCCACCCCTCCGTTGGGCCAGGTCTTCTCCTTCCTTCCCTCTTTCCTTTCCTCAATCCCTCCCCTCCCCAAAAGAAAAATGACTCTGCCTTCCAGCATGGAAAGGGACTCCATTGCAAGGCTTCTCTTCCCTTGCAATGGTTGGTGCGTCAGTCTTCTCGTTCAATGGAGAGAGGGGTATTTGCGCATGCTCTCTAAGGGATTTTTCTTTTTGGGGAGTTTTTAAGTTATTTCCCCTTCATTTTTACAGGGTTTTTTTTGTTTGACAGACACAGATCGGATTAGAATGTGTTTTGCTGCCAAATTTGGTGTCAATTTATCCAGTGATTTTTGAGTTCTGTTAATCCCACAAACGAACATTACATTTTTATTTATATAGATGTGGAGGTGGGCATGATTGAGTTGCTCTGGGTTTCTATCATTTGTGACCATGGTATGTTTCCTTTCTCTCTATGATCTCATTTTCTTTACATCAGGGTTTGCATATTTCATAGCGAACGTAGTATTCCCTCTTCTTCCCCCCCCCCCCCTCCAAAATGGCACACAATGAAGAAGTGTCAAGGTGAATTTTGCTGCTTGTGGCCAAAAAGCAAAATTGGTTCTCACCCTATTGATCCAGGAATCCTGGAAACAAGCCACGGCGTCTTTCATTTTCCTTTTTGAGTAATGGAGTGGATGAGATCCATCATCTGTCAAAAAACCATACTCCAGATTAAAGTGTATATATCAGCTTCAATTAGAATTATGTCGGGATGTAAGCTGATTTCATGGCCAGCGCAGGGCCCTGATCCAGAGAGTGGATGATTTGATAATCAGGCTTCTGTCTACATTGCAGTATTATTTTCATGCTCATAGTGCACTAGAGTTTTCACACGAACCCACCAATAAAGAGCGGTATCAAAGTGGGTTGGACTCCATGCAGTGCGGACACATGGCTATTATTTTCACTATTATTTTCACACGACCTCCAAATTGCGCAATATTCCATTGGTCAAAGGCTGTATTGATGGAGTTGAACTCCTGATGCTTGAATTGCACTGCGATTTTGCACTATTATTTTCACGCTTGTAGTGCACTGCAGTTTTCACAAGAACCACCAGTCAAGAGCGGTATCAAAGCGGGTTGAACTCCATGCAGTTCGGACACATGGCTATTATTTTCACTATTATTTTCACACGACCTCCAAATTGCACAATATTCCATTGGTCAAAGGCTGTATTGATGGGGTTGAACTCCTGGTGCTTGAATTGCACTGCGATTTTGCACTATTATTTTCACGCTTGTAGTGCACTGCAGTTTTCACAAGAACCCACCAATAAAGAGCAGTATCAAAGCGGGTTGAACTCCATGCAGTTCGGACACATGGCTATTATTTTCACTATTATTTTGACACGGCCTCCAAATTGCAGCAAGGCATTCGGAAGCACTTTATCCCATCTCCTAGTGCAATTAAACCTCATTTTCGTCCCTCTGATCCTCTGTCTAGATACATTACATGGCGTATTCACCCAGTGCTTTTGAACTTTTATTCTTTGCAACTTACCCTGCCCACTGCCCACTGCGATTTTTTTGTGTGTGTGATTCAATTACTGTGATCTTTTATTGTTTGGTGTGTTCATTTGTATTGTTCTCTCTATTTATTTATTTTTATTTTCATTATATTTTATGTTGTATATTTGTATATTTGCTCAGCTGTACTGTTGGGCTTGGCCTCATGTAAGCTGCCCCGAGTCCCTTTGGGGAGATGATGGCAGGGTATAAATAAAGATTATTATTATTATTATTATTATTTGAAACACAACAAGATGAGTCCACAGCAGACACTCTGCAGGCTGTTGTATTGGATCACACGTCGGACACTTCCCAAGTGTCTAGGACTGTGTGATGTATTGGCGACTAATGAGTGCAGATCCCAATAAGGTGGCCTTTTGCAGCTGGCAGATGGCCATTTTGTCAGTGCCAATTGTGTTTAAGTGCGGGCCAAGGTCTTTAGGCACTGCACCCAGTGTGCCAATCACCACCACTGGGACCACCTTGACTGGCTTATGCCAGAGTCTTTGCACTTTGATCTTTAAATCCTCATATCGTGACAGCTTTTCCTGTTGTTTCTCTTGAGTCTTGCTGTCACCTGGGATTGCAACATCGACTTGATTGTGAGGTCAGGAGCATTATGCTCCAAAACTCTGTCTGTCTGAATCCAGAAGTCCCAAAGGAGTTTGGCGTGTTCATTCTCTGTAACTTTTTATTATTATTACTAGCCGCCCCCTGCCACGCGTTGCTGTGGCCCACATAGGGGTTCTATGTGGGAGGTTTGGGCCAGTTCTATCATTAGTGGGGTTCAGAATGCTCTGTGATTGTAGGTGAACTATAAATCCCAGCAACTACAACTCCCAAATGTCAAGATTCTATTTTCCCCACAACTCTACCAGTGTTCACATTTGGGCATATTGAGTATTCGTGTAGAGTTTGGTCCAGATCCATCATTGTTTGAGTCCACAGTGCTCTCTGGATGTAGGTGAACTACAACTCCCAAACTAAAGGTCAATGCCCAACAAATGCTTCCAGTATTTTGTGTTGGTCTTGGGAGTTCTGTGTGCCAGGCTTGGCTCAATTCCATTGTTGGTGGAGTTCAGAATGCTCTTTAATTTTAAGTGAACTATAAATCCCAGCAACTACAACTCCCAAATGACAAAATCAATTTTTGAGTGGTAGTCATTTAGCTTTTAGTCATTTAGCTTTTGGTGGCTTTTAAGTCCCTTCTGCTGTGTTTTTCAGTGTTTTTATGAGTGGAGGACATGCATTGGGTTGTTAGGTGTCTTGTGTCCAAATTTGGTGCCAATTCCCCCAGTGGTTTTTGAGTTCTGTGAATACCACAAACGAACATTACATTTTTATTTATATAGACTATTATTATTATTGTTATTATTGTTATTATTATTATTATTCTCTGTGGCTACTAAGGCTGGATCTACATTGCCATATAACCCAGATGATCAAAGCAGATAATCAAGAGTATCTACTTTGGATTAAATGAGTCTACACTGCCATATAATCCAGTTCAAAGCATATAATCTTGAGTTTATATGGCAATGTAGATGGGACCTAAGACTGCAACAAAATGCTTTGTGTATGTGCCAAGTTTTTTGAACCGCTGTAAAAGATTAAATCTTTCTTTCTTTCTTTTTCTTTCCTCTTTTCCCTGCCTCCACTTTCTTTTCTTTCCAGGTACAGAACCTATTTATGCTACAGATCCAGTCCTCTGTTCATTCCTGTTAATGTTGCATAAGCTTGTACACTTATTATTAAACCACTGATGGACTTCTTTATCCAATAAATCCTCAGCCAAACGAGAAAGGAACCTATTTAAAAACCAAGCGGAAGAAAGAGAAAAGAACCCTCAACGAGAACTATAATCTTAAAGACGGACCGAATGAGAGAGAGAGAGAGAGAAAGAGAAAGAAAGACTGGACAAGAAGCATGACACATTCTATGGGGAGGGGTAAAGCATATTTTTGGGGACATTACGCAAAGGTCAGCCACCTGAAAGAATGCATCTAGTTTCCAGATTCTATGGTATTAATGCCCTATTCCACACAACAAGGTAGCGATTCTTTTCCTCCCTTCCTTTTCCACGGTTTCTTTCGTTTCTTACACCTTCTTTCCTCCAACGATTAATTTTGCACGAACTGTTGAACAGTTGCTTTTATGATGATATGTCAAGACGTCAGGGCGGGGAGAGAAAGCTCTTCTAAAGAAGGGCACTATTTTTAGTAGATTATTGTGGTTAGCCTTTTTATTATTATTATTATTATTATTATTATTATTATTATTATTTCCTCTCCCCTTCCCACTCTTCTTCTTCTTTCTCTCTTTTTTTATTTTAAAAAATTAAATTATTTCCTTTGGAAAACGTTGGTTTTAAACAAAGGCACATCTTATCATGACGAATATTCACTGTCGATAATATTTATTTTTAAATAATAAAAAAAAGAAAAGATTGGAAACAAGGTAAGACATTTGTTTATAAAAACTGTATTGTATATTGCTGAATAACAGTTGAATTAAAAAAAAAGAGAGATTTTGAAATGACGCTTCCTACCAATATGTTAAATTCGGTATTTTCTCATCGGATGTGCACAGTGTGTATATAAGTGTGAATATAAGTTACCTGTCAACTCATGTTAATGCCATGAATTTCAAAGGGTTTTCAAAGGTAAAGGTTTCCCCTTGACATTTAGTCTTACTTATTTAGGCAATGTTTCATAGTCCCAAGGATGGTGGTCCTCCAAATGTTAGTGCCTTGGTGGTGGGTCCGTAGGTGGCTGTGGAGACCTGTTCTTGATCTGCATGTTCTTCCACAATGAGGACACCGGTTTCCAGGTGGAAGGTGGTCCCGGTCAGGGTTGGCTTGATGTGCCTTTCTCTTGGCATGTTTTTCTCTTTCGCCCTCCATTCTTCGAATTCTGCATCACTGCTGGTCACAGCTGACCTCCAGCTGGAGCACTCAAGGGCCAGGGCTTCTCAGTTCTCAGTGTCTATGCCAGAGTTTTTAAGTTATTATTATTATTATTAAACTTTATTTGTACCTCGCTAGCATCTCCCACAGGACTCGATGCGGCTTACAAAGGCCAAGGCCTCAACAATAATACAGCAATACAAACCTAAGCAAATTAAATAACTAAAGCAATCTAAACAACAAGCAATAAACAATCCATTAGGACACAATAAAACTGGGCCAGGCCAGAGTAAGGGTACAAGGGTTAAAAGTGCTGATGTGACAGGTGGAAATGGGGCTTATGGACAAGTGCAGTGTGCAGTGTGCAGCGATCTTGGCTTTAATAAAGTTGGCTTTGAGCCCGTCACATTGACCGACCATCTGCACAGGGTTCCATATTTTGCACTTTAACAATACAACTGTTCAATGATAAGGCTTCCCACTAAAATGGAACTGTAGAGGAGAGTCTTCCGAACAAGCCAGTATCTGCTGCATACCAGTACTGCCATCTGTTGAGGAGTTAGGAAAGTGGAGCCATTACTTTTCATTCAACCTTCGTAAATACAGTGTTATTATTATTATGGGCGATTGGTATATAGCATATGTTCTGTATCTCAAAAACTAGAGTTGAAGGGGAAAATCTAGTCCCTTTTTTCATTCCAGTAGGTCAAATAGACCGAGAAACAGGGCTAACCTTAGAGGTACCAAAGTGTGTGTTGTCCAATGAGGACCTTTGCTATCCAAAGAGTGTTCTCTACCATTTGAGCTATGAGCCCCCCCCCCCCTTCCATTAAACTTATTATTCCTGCCCCATCACATCTAATATACATCCATTTGATTTGGAGGCATTACAATCATTAGTCTTTACTTATACCATGAGGATCACTGATGAAAGAGACCCTCTCACTGGAGAACCTCAATGCAACAGGGCATTCATGGAGACAGACAGTCATCAACAACCCACAGGTGATGGTGGCAACTGCTCCTGAAGCCATGCGTTTGTACAGTGCTAAGTTAGTATTCCCTGTAATGTCTATCAACATGATGCCCCCTAGATAAAGGTGGCAGGCTTATTTCCCCCGGGCAACAAGCGATGGAGTTCACAACCCCAATCAGAGGCTTGCTGTGCAGCCCATGTGCTGTGCATTAATTGCTCCTTTTCCTCTTCCCACAGGGTCTAAGAAGGGCAACCCTTATTCCGATCAGGTTCTGTTCAGCAAACTGTTTGCTCTTGAAATAAATGGCAGGGTTGTCAGGGGTGATACGCAGTTCCATGTGAACATCCAATTTGGCACCTGGCCACAGCACAACAACTTTGCTGATGGAGTCATAACTAGGATCGCAGCACTGGAAGGGACCCCCAAGGGCCATCCAATTGGACCACATTCTGCCATCCAATTTGAACATCCAATTTGGCACCTGGCCGCAGCACAACAACTTTGCTGATGGAGTCATAACTTGGATCGTAGCACTGGAAGGGACCCCCAAGGGCCATCCAATCGGACCCCATTCTGCCATCCAGTTTGAACATCCAATTTGGCACCTGGCTGCAGCACAACAACTTTGCTGATGGAGTCATAACTTGGATCGCAGCACTGGAAGGGACCCCCAAGGGCCATCCAATCGGACCCCATTCTGCCATCCAATTTGAACATCCAATTTGGCATCTGACTGCAGCACAACAACTTTGCAATCCAAGTCATAACTTGGATCGTAGCTCTGGAAGGGACCCCCAAGGGCCATCCAGTTGGACCCCATTCTGCCAGGCTGGAAGACCCACCCTGAAGGTCAGCTAGTCTCTGTTTAAAAACCTCCAAAAAAGGAGACTACTAAGAGACCAAAAGGCTCCAATCCGAGGGCCCTTCCAGACGGGTCCTATATCCCAGGGTTTGAGCCCAGGTTTTCGGTTTATCCCACATTATCTGGCAGTGCAGACTCATATAATCCAGTTTAAAGCAGAAAACCTGGGATCAGATCCTGGGATAAAGGACCTGTCTGAATAACTTTCCCACATTGGAAAAGAAAATCCCACTTCTGACACCAATTTGTCATGAACGACTTTCAATAACTTTGAATCACAGGTTCTTTTTATTGAAATTTCCAGTGTGAGAGGGTATATCAGATTACAGAACAACATTTAGACATACAGACATACAGATTTTACGCAACTACATTGGATTTACAATTACATGGCTACTTTGGCCACATCATGAGGAGACGGGAAAGCCTAGAGAAGACAATTATGCTGGGGAAAGTGGAAGGCAAAAGGAAGAGGGGCCGACCAAGGGCAAGATGGATGGATGGCATCCTTGAAGTGACTGGACTGACCTTGAGGGAGCTGGGGGTGGTAACGGCCGACAGGGAGCTCTGGCGTAGGCTGGTCCATGAGGTCACGAAGAGTCGGAGACGACTGAACGTATGAACAACAACAACAAGGCTAACAAACAAACAAAGGAGAATTACATTTTCAATCACCATTTACACACATGTACATGCATTCATCCTCATGCACCCAAATATTACCATATCCTTTTCTCCCTCCTTGGAGAAGCACCTCTTAGGCCAAACCCTGCTTTCCTGCAGCCTGTCAATGCATAGTTCCAAAACTTCAAAACCCCAAAATGCATCTTTTCCCTAAGCACAATGCCAAGGCCCAGATCTCTGTTTTCCATATAGCAGAACCTGACTCCCTGCACAAAATCTAAGACTCCTAAAGTGCACTTCTTCCTCTTCCCTTGACAAAGAAGTCCCAAAGTGTCCAGACTGCTCCCGTGCAAATCTGCCACTTTCCAAATACACCATCTCTCTCCTCTCCATGGAGCAGAGAGGCGGGTGAACCAGACTCCTCAGGTCTGCCGCACTTTGGGCATTATTAGACTGAGTCTTTTAAAGGAATGTTCTGCTCATGTAGTCCCAAAGTTGCAAATTAATGATAGATGTCTTCCATCCTGGCGCCATCTTGGTTTCCTGGCCAGATGTTGATCTTCTTGATTGGTGCTGATCTTATGTTGACTTCTTTCTTAACATTGTAAACATTTCTATTACCACTGTCCCAATTCTTATCAGAGTTTACTTTTCAGTTGTGGAGCCCCAGTGGCGCAGTGGGTTAAACCCCTGTGCCGACAGGAGTGAAGACCGACAGGTCGCAGGTTCAAATCCGTGGAGAGGCGGATGAGCTCCCTCTAGCAGCTCCAGCTCCTCATGCGGGGATATGAGAGAAGCCTCCCACAAGGATGATAAAACATCAAATCATCCAGGCGTCCCCTGGGCAGCGTCCTTGCAGACGGCCAATTCTCTCACACCAGAAGCAACTTGCAGTTTCTCAGGTCGCTCCTGACATGACAAAAAAAACTTTTCAGTTCTTATTAGCAACTTTTAATTACAGTCCAGCAAGCAGGTAGTTAGTCATTGCAGGCCTTAATATTATACTGGTGTTTCCAAAATTATTAACTCCACTCATACAACTTCCGTTCTTCCATTCATTCCCACACATCATATTAAATTTGTATTTCTCAAATATGCACATTAAATTTTTGTGACACTGAGAGATAATTATACTATGTACCAAAATTTGGGGAAAAAATCTGTTCCTGGTTGGAAAGTGTTGTTACTGTTTAATTGTGTGGTACTTACTTTGAAAGTAGTTGTTCTGCTCCAGAAACATCATTGTGGCGGCCACAAACTAGGTTGAATTGGTCCTTGAAAAATGTGCTACAGGATATCCCGCAAAAAACAAAGTTTTTGAAGTTTAATCAACTTGTCCCTGCTTTTATGATCAAACCAATTAGGAAATAATATTTATAACCCAGGAACAAAAATCATGTTACATAATGTTATCCATGTGATGATTTCGCAGCAATCTAGTGGAACTTCTTGATAGCCAAGGCTTGATTTGGGTTATTAATGGTTCAGTTTACTAAATCCCATTCTGATATTAGGATTGAAAACAATCACTAGAGTGGCTACTGGCTAGCAACTCTATCAACTATAGCAGTGGTACTCAACCTGTGGGTCCTCAGGTGTTTTGGCCTACAATTCCCAGAAATCCCAGCCAGTTTACCAGATGTTAGGATTTCTGGGAGTTGAAGGCCAAAACATCTGGGAACCCACAGGTTGAGAATCACTGGACTATAGCATCTCCTATCACAGGACCGGTAACTGCAGAAAAATATAGGGTTCCTGATAAGATCCTTGACGAGCAGGTGCTAATGTGCTTCCCACTTAAAATGTGTAAGGCAAAGGAATGAAGACAATTACGGAGATTAATCTTACCATAAGAAACCCTCCTCTTCAAGACTGAAACCTGTGCAGCTTCAGATGAATGGTGGTGAGGTACAAATCAGACAGCAGAAACTTTGGACTATGGAGATTGTCCTATGCACTTGGCATTGGTCAGATATTTTTTACAATGCAAAACAATTTTAGCCAACATAAACGTACTTGTTTTCCAGTGGGAAGTCTGGGCCTGCTTTTGGCTGATGAGAGAGTCAAGTGCATGAGGATTGTTGTTGTTACAGTGTTCCTTCGCCACTTCGAGGTTCCCTAACTACAGACTCACTGTTTCGCGGCTTTTCAAAAAAAATAATTTAAA